CATTCTAATCCTCCCCACGTCCAATTTAAACCCATTCCCCCTTGTCCTGTCACTACAGGCCCTTGTAAAATGCCCCGCTGCTCAGAGCCCTGCTCTCTCTGGCTGCAGGCACTCATGCCTGAGGACAGGCAGATGTCATCCAGCACACGGCTCCTGTTCCCCTGCACACACTGCGTTTGGAGACAGAATCCCAACCACACCTGCTCCCCAGGTCATACTCCGTGAGGCAGGTCGCTGGATTAGAGGCCGCACATCCAGACGGGGTTTTCTTTCCAAACCGAGCAGGCAGACCCAAGCTCCCGCTGTTAGTGACAGGGAGTGAACTGGGGGAGACAAACTGCCCCACCTTTGGGGGAGCATTTCTTTGGGAAGTTTACTCATTTTAGAGTGTGCTACAGAGAGAGCCAGGTGAACTGTGCACAGGAGAACTGATCCCTGCTGCAACAGCCAACTATACTCCTATACAACCCTTGGAGATAAGATTATGGGAAGGAAAACCATTACAAAGCCAGTAGCTGCAGCTATTCCCTTCCCTCCCCTGCGATCCGACAGTGGTTACTCACGTGTGCAGCTGGGGTACCCGTAGAAGCCCAGGGCACACTGGCTGCAGGTATGTCCCGCAAAATTTGCGTGGCATCGGCACTGGCCAGCTGGGCTGCAGTCGTTGTCCACCGCACCCCGGGAATCGCAGGAGCAAGCTGTAAGAGCAGGACGTTCAATAGGCTGACGAAACGTGTGATTCATGGCCAGCCACTGCTGGTCTGAATTGCCATTCAGCCCCACAGAAAATCAGCCATTTCCATCAGAACTAAATTAATTCCTTAATTCCCTGGAGAGACAGGCAGTATTTTCAGGCAGAGTCATGGCTATACCAGGAAAATGACAGAGATCTTTTTACAGCCTATTTAATGTTTCTCAGGAGTTTAGTAGGTTAATGCACTAAAAAGACAAAAAAAAGGCCTAAGCTGAGAAACCAGGTCACAGCAGGGTTGTGGTGAGGAAGTGTGACCGATAAAAACTGCTTTGTCTTCTAGACTTTGGCATGATCCATGACCTCCAGAACAAGCCTGCCAAATTCACAGTGCAAAATCACATGGGGTTTGATTTTGAGAAACACCAAGGTCCTGCAAAAATAGGCACATTTTTCAGAAGGTGCCGGAGCAGCAGGAACCCAACGCCAAGGTCCTTACCGTAGCAGTGGGGGTAGGAGTGGTGCCCAGGGCTGCACTGCTCGCACCGTGGCCCAGCAAACTCGGCTCTGCAGAAACACCTCCCCAGAGAGTCGCAGCCTCCCGGCAGCGTCCCGACCGCGCTGCAGCCGCACACTGCAACAGAGAAACCGTCTGCCCTGTGCTGGGACCATGGGGCAACGCTCACGGTAACACGGGGGTTTTAATGAGGTTCTCAGATAGGTATTTAGGTGTTGCTCCACCTAATATAATATTTAGGCGCTGCTCCACCTAATATATCCACCAAAACACCCACAAAACCACTCCCCAGCCCTATTCAAAACCCTGTCAGAAGACTCTGGCTCTGTGCGTGCCCACCCAAGCCCAGGGGAGGACAGATACCCACGCTGGCACAGAGGGTAGTTGAAGTAGCCGGGAGCACACTGGTTACACAACTGCCCTTCAAATCCTGTTCGACACAGACACTGCCCTGTCTCGCTGTCACAGGTGCCATCATACTGACCGGGGCCGGAGCACTGGCAGGCTGGAAAACAAGGACACTAGTCAATAAGCAGCTTCTTAGTCTTTCCTCTTCCTAGGAAAGGAACCAGAGTGGCTTTCCTCTGGGATAGAACCGCAGTTGCTGGAGGAACCATGGGGGACACAGCTGACAGCAAGCATGCCTTGCTCACATCCATTGGAAATTTCTCAAGAGTATCCCAAGGTTGTGATGATGCTGGAGGGTCAGGGCTGGGTGGAAAAAACCAGCACAACTCATGGGAATTTGTCACTTTGAGGGCTGGAGAATCCCTCCTCCCCAGTGTGAGCAGAGGACAGGGAGAGGCACGCTCCCTCCAAGCAGGGGGTGAGCAGGGCGAGTTTGGGAATGCTAACCCTGAGTCACTCACGCTGGCAGCTGGGTCCGTAGTGGCCTGGAGCACACTGGTCGCAGTGTGTTCCCTGGAAGTTGGCTTTGCACACGCACATCCCCACGCGAGGGTCTCTGCGACAGGCGTTGCCTTCTGTCCCACCGGCGTAGCAGTCACAGTCTGGAGCGGGGACACACAACACCCACACAGGGCTGTCAGTTGATCCTCTGCTGCTGGGCAGAGGATCCAAAGGACAGGGAAGAGTTGCCATGAGAGGCAACAGCCCAAGCATTTGCCTGGTGTGGCGTGCTGGGAGAGGGAAGGGCAGAAGTCACCCAAGAACCAGAGGGAGGGGGAGGTTGGGAAATGAGAAAGGAAGTGAAAAATTCCAGCTCAGGAAAGAAAAACCTGTCTGGAAGATACAGATTTTAAAATATCAGAAGGAAGGAAAAGGTTATCTGGAGCACATTGGGGAGCATGAGACAGGGAAGGACACAGTGGGAAAAGAGATGGGGAAAAAAAGTCCAAGAGAGGAGATGAACCAAGAAGAGTGACCATCAGAGGAGAGGGAGGTGGAGGGAGGCAGGATGAGGGCATGGGTGAGCTTTCAAAACAACAGAGAAGGCAACATGGAGCAAGTGGCTGCCTATGCATGCTTCCCAGGCACCCACAGCCATGCGGAGGGACCATCGTCACGGACCCGCTGTCCTGTCCACCACATGGAAAACGCAGGGTGTGCAGGTGTGGCACAAGGACAGGTTTGTCTAAACCCAGGGGCCAAGATTTGGTAGAACTTGACTTGGTTTCCAGCTCAGCCACCGCCTGTGACTGGAGGGGTTCCTTAAAGAGAGGCCAGAAGGGACGTACCCACATGGCCTGGACCACAAAAAAAGCACACAATCACACGGTCACTCTGGGCTAGAGCTGTCTATAAAAGCAGGATCATAAAACATCCTTTCCCCCGGCCCTCAGCTGTGTCCTCTCTCAGAACCACTCTGTGTCAGCGCTGTCTCTTACAATACGTGTGCCCCTAAGCTGAAGACCTGATCTTGCATTGGGTGGTGAGGTATGACAGCAATGATAGCACAGTGATTGCCAAAGCATTAAGGAAAATTGCTCTGCTTACTTATTATCTGTCCTGCAGGAAGCACTTGTTCTCCAGTATCATTGGAAGCAAAAGCTGGAACAGCTACGGAGACAAAGAGACATTGCACAGGTCATCACAGGTGCCCCGAGAAATCTTTTAGGATATCAACGGGTTAACAGTCCCAAAGCTGAACAGCCTGAGTGAAAATGTTGAACACGGAGCAAGTGCAGAATCCCACTAAACAAAGATCCATTACAACCATTTTTAGCCTGGGCTCTGGAAAGATGTCTTTCACAGGAAGTGAGAGATGAGACTCCAGCCAAACGGACTCCAGAGATTTGGGTTCAGCCCAACTCAGCTCTGGTCCAGCTTCCACCAAAGCCAAACACAAGCTTGTCCTCACCTGCACGAATTCTTCCTGGGACAGGAGTGCCATGTGGCACGGGGAAAAGACACCTGGAGAGCAGCCCCAACTGGAGCTGTCACTCTTCCTGGGCCAGCTGGCCACCCCACGGCCCCAGCACCCCCTACTTACGGTAGCAGTGGGGGAAGTTGACGTATCCCTCGGCACAGGCGTCACAGTGCTCCCCGGTGTAGTTGGGCTTGCAGTAACAGCGGCCGGTGAGGTCCTCGCAGGTGCCGTCGGTGAAGTCAGACTCGCAGTTACAGCCTGCAGAAAGGGATAAGACAGCAGTGGTTGTCACTAACAGAGACCTTTGGCCAGCCAGGAGCACCACAGCAGCATCCCCACATTATACAGCGCCTCCCTCTTTAAGAGACCAAGCCATCTGCTGCAAATTCTGTCTAAAAATAAAAAACATTATTTTGCCTCTTCAGAAGGGCTCTGGCTTAGGGGAACCACTTCCACTGTGCCTGTCCCACTGCAGGGTCCTAAGTCAGGCAGCACAGCCCCAGCTTGCTTCTCGGGGAGACCCCAATTTCCCCAGAGAGGTGGCAGTGGCACTCTGCAGGAAGGACACAGTATGGAACAGCCGATGTGTCACAGCTACCAGGCTGAGCTGGGCTCCCCAGCAACACACATATAACCCACTGCTGCCTAGAAATCCCTGTCTTGGTGCGCGGAGAACAACGGTCTGCAAATGACAGATGGAACGGCACAGAGATGACAGCTAAGACTGTCAGAACATGCCAGAACAGCCTTAGAACATGCCACCACTTCTGATTTCACAGATGCTACAGACACAGGCAGCCTACACGTAGACAGCTGCATGCACACATATTTCCATGGGCAATGCCAGCTGCTACAGGATCTGCCCAGAGCCACACCTCTTATGGTGCTGGAGTCCCTACACCAGAAAAATCCCTCAGCCCAACCCTTCAGACCACCCTCCCAAGCATCATCAAGTCCAAGCAGACATCCACAGCCTGCAGAGGACACGGCACTCACGGTAGCAAACATATGGAGAGTCGATCGGGTGGTCAGGGGACCGGTAGTATCCTGGGATGCACCTCTCACAGTTAATGCCAGTGGTGTGATGCTGGAAGACAGTGAGTTAGAGGGGCAGCAGTTCCTCTGCCTGCAGGATTCATGTTCATCTGCCAGATTTACTAACAGCTTCAGGGTCCAGAGGGAGCAAAACTCACAAGTGTCAGCACACAGAAGACCTAAATCTGCTCAAAATTCCATATACGCTGTTTTGAAAACAAAGCACTTCCTGCAAACTGTGTATCCTCCCATAAGCCCAGTCTAAGCTTTAGGTTCTCAAGCCCATTTCACTTACTCCAGATGGTAAAAAATGTCCCGACCACTTTGTGATAGGAGGACGGGAGCAATCTGTTTCCTCCCAGCAAGAAAGCACAACTAGAAGTTTCATGCCAATACATGAATTAACCAGCTCACAGTCACCTCAGGAGTGGAAGAGCTACTTTCCCACTTTCACTGGGAACTTCAGAGACTGAGGAGATTGTCATTTTGGTGGTCAGAAAGAGATCCAGAGGGATGGCAGCACCTGAGCATCGCAAACTAGGCAGGGAGTTCCCCACGTGCTCAGCACCCACATGTCCAACACCTCCAGCGCACAGTGCCTTGGCAGACCTAACCCTAAAGCATTAGAGAGGCAATGGTACTACCCAGGGGACAGTCAGGAACCCAAATGCTGCTTTAATTACTGGTGCACACTTCTTTAATCTCTGGCAAAGAGAGTAAATTTCCAGGGAGAGACTTAATTAAGGGTGTGTGAGAGGGTTGATGAAGCTGCCAGCTCCAGGCTGACAGCGGAAACACACAAAAATCAACAACAGCCTCTTCCATGGGAGCTCTTCAGGCCTACCTGACAGTCAATGCAAACACCTCCCCCTTCAAATGTGTCCTCACGACTTTTGCTGGCTTTGTGGCGATCCACCTCCGGGTCGTAGTAGCAGTCGTAGGCATGGCTGTTGCAATTGCAAGCTGGAAACACAAAGAGACGTTAGCTAAGCCACCAGTCCACGGAGCTCCTTCGGTCTCCAGCTGGATCTCAAGATGTGAACTCTTCCTTGTGGGTCTGATATTGGATGGGTTACTTTTCAGCGAGGGAAGATGCCTGAATGCACCTGGGGGTTTATATAATCCCCCAAGCTCCCAGAAGTCTTCCAGTTCCAAAGCCCAGAAGCAGTAACACTCTCACAAAGTCTAGTCTGCAACTGGAAAAATGCAGCAGGCACAAAATCAGAAGTAAAATATGTGAAGGCATGTATAGACGAGAAAGAGAAATTACCCAACTCTGGGGCCTCAAGTAGTCTGTTTAGAGGGCAACATTCTCGCCTCTTTCACCCCATCCAGGACAGAGGTGAGCTGTAAAGTTCAGCACCCGATGAGGGTGCTCTTCACAAACCCACAGGATCAAGATCCAACTGTCCTTTGCCACCCTGCGTTTCTAACAGACGGCGTGACGTAGCTACGCGCCGTGCTCTGCATTCCCAGTGCAGCATAAATTCCACTGCCGGCATTTACCAAAGGTTCCTCTAGACAAATAAAGGCGGTCTGTACGTAAACACATCCACACGTAATTCGTCTTGGAGACAGAATTGAGCAACAAGACTCGCCTGCACGAACCTTTGGACACGGAGGAGGAATTGGAACATAAGCAAAATCAAAGTCCCATAAAGACCTAGTTGGCCTCCCTGTGTGAGCCTCGACGGAACAGCATTAACCACTGCAGATTTTCCTCTCCCAGCACCAGCGATCTCCACCCAGTGCCACAGACCTCACCGTTTCAGTGAACAGCTTCTCCGCGCTGCAACGTCAAGGGGCTGGTGGAGCTTGGTCAAGCCGTGCTTTGCCAAACAGCTGGAAAAGGAAGGAAAAACCCAACTCCAACTTACGCTGGCATTCGTTTGCGCTGTCGGCGGTGGCGGGCTTCCAGGGGAACTGGTTGAAGCCAGGGCAGCAGCGATCGCAGGACCCACCGCAGGTGTTGTGCTGGCAGTCGCACTGCAGCCTGCAAGGGAGAGGAACGAGGTACAGCCAGGCCTGTGGTGATGACCGGGATGTGTGGGATGGGGAGCTGCCGTGTAACCCTATCACCAGTCAGATACACAAACGAGTGATATTCATCCAGATATTCTGGAAAAGAGGCTTCTAAGGCATTTTTTTGAACTTCTGAATTGCTGATATATCTTTTTCTCAGCTGAACACCAAACTTTGCTCCTCAAGTGCCATTCTTTCCTTCTCCTCCACCATCATGCCTCTTTTCTTCACAGGGAGACAAGGATTAGAGAAAAATCGGTGTGCCGCTGCCCTGCCAGCTCTGCAGACAATAAAATGTGTAATAGTTGGAGGTGGCAGTGGTAGAAACCTGACCTGAAGCAAATCACCTTAGAGGGAGCAGCACGGTGTGGGGACATGAGGATGTCCCCAGCACTGTGCAGGGGCAGCGTGAAAGGAGTAAATGGTAGCCCAGAGCCAGCGAGGGATCCCATCTGCCCCTCCAGGTATACCTGTGCTTGCAGAGGAAGGCGATGAAATTTGAATTAAGCCTTTTAGCAGATGCTGGCCCCAGGCTCCCTGTGAACTGCACCTCCTGCTTTTCCCAGCCGGCACAGGCAGGGCTGTGCTGGGTAAACAGGCGGCTCCAGAGGCGCCAGGCAAGAAATCTCGACGGTTGACTGACGGATCTCGTCCCTGCTCGACTGCAACGGTGATTCATTAACAGCAGTGACATCATCTCCAAAACTTCCACTTAGCAGAAGGCGATTCCCATCCAACACAAACGCTTTCTGTTGTATTAGACTTATGGATAATACAGCATGTTCCAGCTTTTATCTGTGCAATTACTCATTTCCCCTCAGGGCTGGTCTGCCACTCCCATCTTTCCCTCCTCCAATGCTTTGCTATTCAAAAGCAGTGTTTAAAAATACATGTAGCTTTTTTAAACAAACAGAGTAGTCATTCTGGGTGAAATGCAGGAGTGCAGACGCTCTGCCACGGCTGCAGTGAGCTGAGTGTCATGGTTTTCACCTACATGTATTTTTAAGATGTGGAACCTGCAAGTGTATGTATTGTGAATACCCAGACAGAGGCAGCGGGATGGGAGGAATGAACTCATTTTAATGAAATACGGGATGATCTGAAAGTGCAGGGGAACCTGGGCAGGATCCACACTCGGCATGTTTTCTTCAGGGTTGAGAGGCAGGAGGTTCCTGCCCTGCTCATGGTCCTCCCCTTGCAGACCCACAGAAGACTTGGCTGCAATCCGCTCTTTGAGCGCTCCTGATGCCCCGTCCCTACCCACGTGCACAGGCTGGGCTGTGGCCGGCAGAATCCAGGCACAAAACCGAGCCCCTGCGAGGTGTGCTGGAGCCTAAGGGGCAGAAATGAGCCCTGAAACGTTCCCCAGGAACTGTGTGCTCCCAGTGTTCTGCAGACAAGGGGGATGCTCAAGGAGAGGCAAACCTCAGCCATGACTCTGTAACGAAACCACCCGCAGACCTCTCACCTGGCTACCACTCAGCACTTCCAAGGAAACCAAACTGTATGGGGTTTTTTCCATGGCAGCAGATGGAAATAAAGATTAATGTCCGTATACATATGGAGAGGGAAGATGGTCACTGAGTCAGGGAACTTATAAACCTGCTGAGCAGTGTTAATCTCCCTGGCTGGAGGATGCGGCTCCAGGCACGAATCCTGGCTCTTTAATGTCCGAGATGTTTGAAAAACACTGGTTCAGTTCCCAGAATGCAAAAAGATGGCACTCAATGAGTATAGATGCACATTTCAGAGGGAGAAGGAGCTATTTATTTAGTCTCTGCTGTCCAGAGTTAGCAACGACCTCTCAGAGCACTCATCTATCACGGCAGCTTTACTGCACCTTGTGCTGAGTCTGTGCTGCTAATGAATTACGGACAAATGTGCCTAAGCTACAATATTTACATGTTTCATTGGCTGAATATATACACGGAAGAAGAGGGAGCGGCTGTGTTCACATAACACATATTTCCTGGTCATCTTGCCCTAAAAAATAAAACCACAGTCTTCCCACTGCAAAGGATGCTCAGTAACTATAAAAAGTTTCTAGGAGCAGCTGTGTCAGGGCCGAGAGTGGCACACAAGTGCTACAGCATCTGGTTTTGGCTGGGACATCTGAGTAGCACCATCAGGAAAAAAAAACCCAGCCCCTTCTTCTAACTGCTTCTGACTGTACTGAGGGAAAACGACCAGCAAAAGGGACTCACAGATGGCCCAAATCTACCAGCACACATGGTGCTTTCCCTTTCAAAATGGGAAAGGCCAAGCTAGCATTCAGGATGCAGCAGTGGGAAAAGCATCCTTTATCTCCTCCTGCATACCGGCTGCTGACCAGCCAGGCTGCTGGTGTCTTGCTGGTTATCTTCAGCATCAAGTGCAGGGGCAGCAGCTGGACTCTCCGGTTGTCCCTTCTCCTGCTTGCGGGATCCGCGATGGGACAGTGAACCCACAGAAACAGTTACTTTTATCAGAGAGATGCAGAACACTTGCAGGGTTCTCCTGAGCTCACATCAACAGCAGCTGCACGTCAACACACAATTCCTGTCTGGGCTCTCTGTCTGCAACGTGCCAGGTCCCCGCTGTGGCTCATCTCACTGCTCACGGGGTTTGCCAGGAGAAAGCCCTGTGCCTGGACCCTACCAGTGTTCACCTTTAACCAGAAGAACCTTCCTTCCCTATGCTTAATCAGCCCATTCGATCTCCAGGCAAAGACAGACAGTTGCAAAAAGTGCCAAGGACCCTTGAGGAGGCTGTACCTGCCCACACACTGTCGGCCCTTGTACGCACACACTCACACGGGGACCAGATGTGCTGCCAACTTAACACAGCTGGATGTGCAGCCGCCGTAACTTGGCACTTCAGAGAAACTTCGCAAAGCTGGATAAACATTATCATTTATGGCCAGGAAGTCAGCTCACGAACATGCTCCATCATGTCCTAACGTCTTTGCCAAGATTTCTAGCTCACCTCACTTCTTTCAAAGTGCTCATCCTGCCTTTCTGGGCAACAAGCACAAGAAACACAGGCATGTGCAGAAGAAAGAAAATGAGAAGCAGAGACCTCCCAGGCTGAGACATAACTGGGATTTTTAATAGGGCCAGGCCAATTCCCTTTCCTTGTCTCCCACTATTTGCATTTCCTTGCCCCACTGCTGTCACATATCATTATCTGAAGGGGCAGGACACGCGCAGAAGGACATCTCGCACCTCCTACTCCGAAGGGTCGCGCAGATTTCTGAAGGAATGATACGTTCCTGACAGCTGGGGCCTATGACACGAAGGCACAGCGTGTCCAAGCCCCAGAAGTCTCTTCTCACGCAGCATTATGGCAGGCAGCATCCTGCTGGCTCTGTGCTATGCCAGGGCAGGAGGGGTGGGAAAACTGCCCAGCAGTGCCCGCCTCAGTGGGAAGGTTGGACACAGCTGCTGCTGGAACCTTGGAGAAATGGCAGTGTTTCACTGATTACTCATTTTCCCAACTGAAAGTATTCTATTTCTGCTGACTTCTCCATGCTCCTGGGCTTGCTGACAGGATACAGCAATGCCATGAGAAGTTCTTCTATTTACCCAGCATCTTTGTCCTGATGTATCCCAAAGGGCTTTACAGATGTTATGTGCTGACTGTACAAAGTACCCAAGTAGGAAATGTTTTCTTCCCCAGGCAAGTGCGATCTGCTCTGGATGAAATGCAACAGCTGCTTGCGAACATGTGCTGCAACGTTAGAGCACAGTTTGGGGCCAAGAGAGATGATGCCAAATGCATCCAAATGAGACTGGAGGAGGGGAATTCTGGGAGGCAGAGACTGTCATCAGCAGAAGTGGCACTGAACAAGGATCCCAACAGATCTCCCTCCATTTTCCCTTCCTTCCTGGAGAGCCCTGAGCTATCAATATACCCAAGAAGAGTAATTTCTATGTTAAAGAACCACTTTGCACCATGAAGCACTTTTGCCCTGGTACAAGGGTGTACTGTGTATCCAGCAACACCAAAGTCTAAAACAAAAACAAGGACTATACGTTCAAATATTTATGAACTTCCCTTTGTCAGAGAGTTTGGCACACTAAGGCAGACTTGCTTACCAATACATCTTTGTTTTAATACTTAGCAGCTTTAAACTTGGCTGGGACTCACTGGAATTTTATTTCAGAAGATCCAAAAGCTCTACATGATCCTGATGAGAAAGAAATATAAGCTTCCCCCATCCAGCTGAATCTAACCATCTCTGTTATAAAGGCAAGATTCAGGCTGCAAACAGATGGCTAAGAAGCAACACTTTCACGGTCTGAAGCAGCTCTTTGGCATTTCAAGTTGCCAAGGCAGATAGGAAGAGTCCCATGAGCCAAAATGTAACTGTTTTGCATGCCCTCATTCGTTTGCAGTAGTTGTTTAGTTATGTACATAACCAATTTATGGTTCTTGTAAGTAGGACTGAGCAGTAGAGTCTCTGGTTTCTTGGGAGACCATCTATTTATGAAGGTATTGCTCCAATTCTTAAGAAGCCATGTGGGAAGCAAGAGACTTCTCTGAACAAGTTCAGAAACCAGCCCTGGGCTTTGATGAGAAACCTCCATGTTCAACAACAGTACTGGCCTTGCACATCCACTCTCCCATTCCAGCACTTGGCTTCCATAGGGACAGCGAAGCTGTGGGCAGGGAAACCAGACCGGAAGCTGGTCTGGCTGAAAAATAGCCTAACAAAACATTTAGTTTTTGCTGCTTTGGCTGGACCATTTTCTGATTTGTTACCAGGACAGAGTCACGAACAACAGTGATGGCACAATTATGAGCTCAGGACATGACACAACTCACACCAGCATCTTTCATTCTTAGCACAACAATTCAAATGCTTTTACACAGAACTGGGACTTTGAAAAATGTACCTGTAAGGATCATTAGGGTCTTTGGCATCACAGACGTCTGCATGGCCATGGCAGACACAACGCCCTCCAATGCTGATATCTTTGATGCTGTAGTAATACTGGAGAGCACAAGAAGAGTTGGCCATTAATATCTTTACAAATAAGCTTCATAAGCGCCCTACCTAGGATTCAGCAGGTCTTCATCCAGTAAAATGATGTGTTGGAACATTTCCCTTACAGTGACAAGCTGGACCTCACAGGCTGCAATATCTGCCTATGGTTAAGAACCACCACCACTAACAGAGCCCATTAGCTACAAGTCGGGTCTCCCAGTGCAGCCACAAAGCCCCGTGTGACACCAAGAGGTGTTTCCCAGTCTCCCGATGTTGATGCTAAGCACAGTTCTTCCCAAGCAGCCTCCAGCTTCAGCCACAGCCGCAGTGGCATCCACTGCAGACGCCTTCAGCTTGAGGAGCACAAGTACACACAGACAAAACCCTCACGGGAAGCATCCAGGGGTGTCTTGTCCCCAGAGGTGGCAGGTGCAGCCCTCAAACACTTCTACCTCAGAGCCTGTCTTACCCTCCTTGTCACTGTGGGGTCCCTTAAAGCTTTGCCCATCAGGTGCCCAAGCAGAGTGTTTGTCTGCAGGAAGCGCAGTCTGATGTTGGTGGCTTTCGTGAAATTCCGCAGGAGAGGAGAGTAGGAGAAATTCATGGCTCCTGGGCGTCCATTTACCAGAGAGACAACAATCTGTGAATGCAAGGAGGGAAAACAAATCTGTATAATCCTCTGAGATGGGAGGAAACTAATCTCTCCCTCAGTCAAAGCCAATCACCCTTCAAGATGACTGAATCAGATCCCTGCCAGGCTCATTTGGTTTAACTGAGTTGTCTAAGTGGCATCTAAAAGTCAAGAGGGAGCCAATTAATAACAGTACCTACGGTCACCCAGAAACCCTGGAAACCCAGGGGATGAAAACGCACAACTGCTCACCTCCCCATTTTCTAAAGGCACGATCCGGGAGTATTCAGTAGTGCAGATGGCATGATCGTCCTTGGTGATACGATCCACGGTTTGCAGTCCAAACTTCTCAATGCAGTCCCTCTTGGAAGCTGTTCACCAACCCAAGAGGAGAGCAGAAGAGAAAAGGAACATTTCAGAGCCCTGTATTGATTTTCCCACAGTGACCAACAGGAGACAAGGGTCTATACACTTAGTTAAGCATTTACTACATGCAGATTGCTTTGTACCATTAACTCTGTCATTGCTAACATGCATGTACTCCACTACAGGGGGGAGTGACGAGGAGAGTAATAGGCATGGTCAGAAAATCCCCCAAATCCCCTCACTGCAGTAAACGAGGAAAGTGAGAATGGCCACTGCTCCTACTGCGACCACCTGCAGGGAAACCCACCCCTTCACTTTGCCATTACAGCTTACGGTTTAACAGCTGGAGCTCTAACCCTGGTCGAAATTTGTTGCCTTGCTGGCACTGTGAACCGAAGGACTGTGGGCTGCTAGAGCTCTGCTCCTGATGTAGGAGCATCAGGTTCATATGGCTCCTTGACCTCTTAGGTAATTCCCAAAGAGTGCGCCAGCACGGAACCACACAACAGGAGTAACCACAAGCCACTGCTGCAGCATCTCCTCCCATCAGGTAGGATGGACACGCAGAGCTGGGGAGGGGGCTTGTGGTGTTTGGGAGAAGCAGAGCGACTGCTCGTGGGACAGCTGCCCAGAAGTGCCCCTTGAGCACAGCAATCGAGAGCTCCTGCCACTAAGTGGCAATGCAAGGCTGGCCAAAGCCAGGGGACAGGCACAGCCAGGCAGTCACACTGCTGGCCCTGCAACCTGCTGTGGGGACACTGCATGCCAAGAGTCTCCTTGCAGCTGTAGGAATGCCCTGGTTTCCCTGCACGGCCGCTCCTGCAAGTCCAGCACCCTCATGCCCAGGATGTCCGACGTCCCTGTGCCGGCAGTGAATGTGCTGGGCCAGTTCAGGACCTGACTGCGAGCACCCACACCTACCCATGCAAAAACCCAGGCAGTGCCACGCTCAGGGACTGTTCACTCAGGAAGGGCCTGGGACAAAGGCTGCTCCTTCCCACTCCCATCTCACCTGTTCCAGGAGCTCTCGGGAGTGCATGCCAAACCTCACATCCCTGCAGCACTCCTAAGGGTGTTGCCATGGGGAAAAGAGGGAGGAAAAGGCAGCCAACACAACCTGCCGCTCCTGCCAGTGCTGCTGAGCTCACACAGGGAGCTGATGTGGAAACATTAGCCTAATTCATGGGAATACTCCTCCAAAATCTGTTGCAATGTGCCTGCAGGAGGCATACCCCTCACTCCATGTCCTGCACTGGTAGGCTAAACCAGGCAGGAGAACAGGAAGGGAGGAGCACAGCGAGCTTCTGCCCCCCTTGCCTTCAGCTCTGGCTTGCACCCACCCACACCTCACCTCCAGCAACATGGCTTCGCTCCACAAAACATTATTTTGGCAACAGCAGGAGCTCAGTTGCATCCACAGGAAGATGGTGTAGAAACATCTAACATCAGGGCTCTGGTAGCCAAGCTTTGCTTCGCCAGGTGCTTTCTTAAAGGCAAATTATGCTGAAGCCCCCAGGTGAGGAGCCCATCACCACTGGCTTGAGAAGGGGATGCTCAGCAAGAGAAGCTACTCAGAAAACCCAAAAAAGTCCTCCAGTTACTGCAAATCTACACAACCAGAAGCCAGGCACCGTGCCTCTGAGCTACAACAGAGTAACCCACCTTACCCCACAGCAATGCCTTAAGGAGACAGCAGACTGGGGATGCCTACCCTCGGTGGAGAAAAGGACGGAACCTTGCTCCGCTATGGCTGCCTTCCTCTCCACAGCGGCACTGTCCAGCAAAGCGAGACAAAACGGGCTAATCCTGCCCCTGATCCTGCACAAGCTGGGGCAGGCAATGCTCTATGGGCCTGGATGGGCAGGTGGGACCAGGCCTCTTTCATGTCCTGCCCCCATTTGAAACGCTGTGGGGGGAACCCTTGGCGTGGATAAACACCACCATAAATCTCTCCCCAGAGGTCCCACTTCTCCTTTGGTGGCTGAAAAAAGCTGGGTGCCTCCCCGCCACGGAGGACTTGCATTGCCACGGCCCCTCCAGCCCCTCTCCCCCAGCAAGCCCATCAGCTACACCCACAGATGCTTTCCACAACAGCCATTTCTTCCCTCCTCCCACACAGCCAAGCCCGAAATCACCTCAGCAGCCTGGCCGGGGGGGCACAGGGCAGCCCAGAAAACCGCACCCCACGATGAGCAGGGCTCCAGGGGCCAGCGTCACCCATGGGAAGGCTTGCTGGTGTCACGGGAGAACATTTAACATTTCTGCTGGCTGCTTTTAACCCTCTTACTGAGATGACCAGTGTTTTTATTAGACCACCTACAGAATTCCCCATGCCAAAAATAAACCTCCGCAAAGGACTTCTTGTGCTAGCGAATCTGGCAGGTTTTGGAGAAGCCGCCTCTTTTATTTCCATGGGAATTTTCCACTGGGCTATGTCACTGCATGTGGCTTCTCGAGAGGGGTGGCATAGACACGGCCTGATGTTTCAGGAGGGAGGGGGACTCCAGATGCGGCAGCACTGCCACCGCTCGCGGGAACAAGCAAGTGGGGGCAAGAATGCAGCTCAAGCAATAACGTAATGGGCCCCAAGAGAGGCTTGGAAGGGAAATTCTCAGAGAAGATAGGGAAAAAAAAAAACCCAAAGCAGGCAGTTTGACAGCAGTAATTCCCCACTAGCAGAGAGGCAAACATCCGCACTAGAGAGGAGCTACCACACTAAGGCAGCACAGAAGGTAAAACGGCTTGCCTGCACACGAAAAGGCCAGCAAGGCTAAAGCACGGGCTGACAGGTAAGCCAGAAATACGAGCCTTCAGGGGCAGCCCAGGGCAAAGCCTCTGAGTGTTCCTTGCCAGGTTTTAAGCTCTGGCTGTAAATCTTAACTCACATCTTTTCCCAATTACTGCTGCTTCTGGGAGGGGCCGATGGTTAACAAGTTCCTTAGCATCTGGCTACCCCACAGACCCTTTGGGAGAAGGGATCTGTAGAACCAGCTGTTTCTAAAGGGATCAGGTTTTAATCAGAGAATCGAGAAGAAAGGATTTCAGATGCACAGCCTGGATCCCCACAGCTGACCTTTTCAGCTGGCTGTCTCTGATCCCACCTTGCACAGCAGCAGGACAGCAGTTCCCTGCCCCGCACAGGCTGTATCCCATCTCCGGGACTGATAAGTGCAAGTTTTCTGCCTCCAGACTTTTCTGTTACAGCAGCCCCTTGGAAGCGAGCCACTGATTTGCTTCTGGAGGAGCTGAAACAGGCCAGTCTGGATATGGTACAGGGCAGGTGGAGAGAGGACAGTGGGGAGGAAATGATAAGAAATCTCACGTTCCAGACCTAGATGAGCAATGCCCACCTACTGACACCAGTACCAACTTGGGCATCCACACAGATTTGGGTGGGCACCAATGAAAATGCTTTAAAAAATACATTTTAGTCCCAGAGAACAAATAAGTTTTCCTGCCCTGAGGAGCACCACAACTTCATCATTGCTGTGATCTAAGTTTCAACTCCTGTAGCCTCATCAGGCACAAGAAACAGAGGACATGTACCATGTCACAGCGATGATGGAAACTCCAAATCTGTCTTGTATTTGCACAAAGAGCCATCTTCGTTGTGGCCTCGGTACCTGGCACTAGGCTGCATCTCTCTTGTAACACTGCCATACAGCCTCATCAGGCACAAGAAACAGAGGACATGTACCATGTCACAGCGATGATGGAAACTCCAAACCTGTCTTGTACTTGCACAAAGAGCCATCATCTTCGTTGTGGCCTCGCTACCTGGCACTAGGCTGCATCGCTCTTGTAACGCTGCCATACTTACAGGCAAAATACTGCCAGGGCTCGTAGGTAAGGCCAAAGTCAGTAGATCGCTCCAACACCCAGAGGTCAGGACGAGGGGAATTGGCAAATTTGATCAGGACATACGCCACGTGGAAGAGCTGAAAGGAAGGAACACAGAGTTACTTGGCTGCTCAAGGCATCACGAAAAACAGGGAGAGCTTAGTGGGATCCAAGCTGAATAAACGAGCTGGCACTTTGCAGATCCTGCTGCTCACAAGCAGCCTGTGGAGAAAAATCCTCCGTATCTAAAAGGATCGTGATACGACACGGCTGCTGGAGATTAGGGAGACTGCTGCCAGATTAGGGAGCTCAGCTCCCACCGGTCTGAATGCAAACAAAACACGGGCTTTGTGGCTATGGGACGCAGTCAGGAGGCTGTACTGGGTGACACCTGAGACTTGGCCTTGACCCACGCAGGCAACGCTCTAAACCAGCTTTGAAGCTGTTCTGGGGGATTCGGCTTCTGGGCTGTTCCTGGGGTAACAGGTGACACCCTAGACTGCCAACCTGGGAATATCCGACTGCACCTTGCACACCCTATCACAAAATCACCCTTTTGGGTTTTTTTTAAAGGCTCCCTGCGCGACAGCCCTGCTTCACCCACACGACCTGCGCTCCGAGCCCCAGCACAGCTCCTCTTCCCCAGGTGCCACAGGGATGGGAGAGCAGGAGACCTGCTTAGCTTCAGCACACTGGGCTGCTCCCATTTGTCTGATCACGGATGTGAGCACACACACCCTTGCCAAGAATAAAATAAACGCACTCTTAAAGAGCTAAAATGTCAGTGCTAGAGAGAAACAAAAGGCCCAGCAGAATTTCCCTTCCCCCGGCTGGCACGGGCTCGCTCCAAGACTCCCCACTCCATCATCCTGTCACAAAGTGATATTTAAAGGCAAATAAAGTTCTCTTATCAGAGAAAATTCCTAACGTCAAAAACAACCCAAAAGGGAGTTCAGTGCTTGAAAAGCAGAGATTTATAGCTCAGGGGTCCCTCCTCATACAAAGCCGGTGCTGTACAAGCACACAACCCCCAAAGACTAACACATACGCAGAGGGACACTTCTCCGAGGGGAGGAGAAGAATGGCTCGGTGCCCGTCTCAGCCCTCTCGCCCCAGCCATAACCAGCTGCAGGAAGGCCAGAACAGCAGCCTGCACCTCAGCCCTGCCCCAGCCACACACGTCGTCAGGCCAGAGGGCAAGTATTAATAATAACAGGCCTCCAAAACAGCCCTGACAATCAATAGGAGACTTTTTAAGGGAAAAGAGACCTCAAAGAGGCACTTCAATCTACCAAGTCATCCATGAAGTTCATGTCTTGCTGTGGCCATTCAGACGAGGGGGTCTGAGCACTGTCGTGTGGGTATGGAGCAAGAGGATGGGTGCAGCCCTGCAGATTGGCACCAGCTCAGTCTCCTCAGCAAGATGCACAGACAAAGCCTTCCCCAGGCTCCTCCTGGATGCTCCCTTGGCTCCGGGGCAGCCTCCCCTCCCCTTATCAGGGTTCCCTCCACAGGCTGGTGGCACCTGAGTTTATGCCTAGGTGTAGGCTAAGGGAGCTCGAAAGAGATGCTCGGGGAGGAGTGAACTAGATCCGTTTGGGAAATCTGCGTGATCCAGAAGCACAGCAGGTCAGGCACCACTCTCCAGCTGTGAATGGGCAGGAGGGTGGGATTTGTCACCTCTCTCGGGGTCTGCACTGGTAAGGACTGGTGCCATCCAGAATGAAGAAATCAAAACGGTCACCCAACACAGTTCCTTGCTGCCAAAAGACTTATGAACCCAAACAAGGGGGAAAGCAACATCCTTTTCAAGTTGCTAAAAACAGAAAAAACAGACCTAACCACTGCCTTAAACCCCCTCTGCACCCTATGTGTTTTCAAGGCATACGAGACTGAGCTTTTTTGGAGAAGCAGCATTTTCTGCCCACTTACTCTGTCAGCAGAGCTGTTATTTATTCGTGAAGCCCAAGAGGCTTCAGCTCAGGCAGCTGCTTTCTCTGCAGGACCAGTTTTCACAGCTTAACATCTGCCTTTCGGCATGGGAACAGGGCTGAGCACCAGCCAGTGAACCTACACCTTCCCTCCTCTGTAAATCCTCCTCTGGCTTTATTCTACAGGGAATAAATCAATGCTCCTACTGGAATCTAGCATAGCCTTTAGCTGGACAAAATTCACTGTGGCTCCATTCACTCTGGTCTCAGGCACTGGGAGAGCCGATGGGCTGCAGAAGGGATAACTTGCCTTTTCACACCAAAACACAGAATAAAGCACCAATAAAACAAAGCAATATCGCAAGGCAAAGTGAAACAGCACTGAGCATCTCATTGCACCAGGCTGCAATCTGGACATAGAATCATGGAATGGTTTAGGTCAGAAGGGACCTCAAAGATCATCTAGTTCCAACCCCCCTGCCATGGGCAGGGACACCTTCCATAGCCCAGGTTGCTTAAAGCCTCATCCAGCCTGGCCTTGGACACTTCTAGGGATGGGGCATCCACAGTTTCTCTGGGCAACCTGTCCCAGTGCCTCCCCACCCTCTCCGGGAAGAATTTCTTCCTGATATCTAATTTAAATCTCCCTTCTTTCAATTTAAACCCGTTACCCCTTGTCCTGTCAAAGGACCATGTAAAATCCCCACAGCATCTCAATAAAAACCACCAGTCAGGTCTGCAATACGCACTCGGAGCTTCCCTCGGCCCCGAGCAAAGATCACTTTCACAGAAGCACCACACAGTTTTATTTGCAGCATGTCTAAATTGCTTTGAGATCCATGGAGAAAAGATGCTTTCCAAAAGGTCACCTGTTTTCAGCACTTTCAAAGAGCAAGGTATGTATTTCTATCCTCACACTCGGGGGAAACAAACGAACGGGCACCAACAGAGGACTAGAAATGTGAGGTATATCCCTATATTCTGCATTATTTTTTTGCAAAGACAGCCAGCTATGAGTTTATAGCCAGTAAATCCCACAGTTTTTCTGGGGGGAGGGGGTCCTCCTTGCTGTCCAGTTTCATGCTGCAAAGAAACGCCCCCAATTAAATGTCCTCAAGTCCAAACTCCTTACTTCCAGCCCTCAGAAGTCCCCCATCCCTGGAGAGCGTGGGTTACAATCCAGTCAAATAGGTGCATGATGAGAGTGGTATTTTGCACAAACGTTGAAACTTGATGCAAGACCAAGCCCAGGGCTGAGTGCTTTATCAAGTGGGAACAGCCAAAAAAAGAACTAGTGCTGCTGGTTGCAGGCCCTGGTGTAAGCGCTCCTGGGGCAGGGGAGTGGCAGGGTCGGGCAGCACACAGGCTCACGGTCCCAATGAGCCCTCTGTAGCTGAAAGAAGATGATTTAGGAGGTTTTGGTACTTTTTACGTTATGGGAGATGTGGGTTTGTGCATGTACACACGCAGGGCTCTGGGGAGAACTCTGTCTGTGCTTGCTGGGAGCTCCCTGAAAGGCCAGTCCCATCCCCACTGTCAGGGCTAAATGCCCAAGACCAGGGCTAGCACGCCAGCTTTTTATCTTTTATTGCCGACTTTTACAGGAAAGAACAAGAACCTCTGGGATTTTGCTGGATCAGCCTCGGTATCTCAGCTGAAGCCCAGTTTGGATATTCCCATCTTGCTCCCACTCTCAAAGCCAAACACGATTCCTCTGCTCCATGCCCAAACCCATCGTTAGCATTGCTGCGTGCTGTAAGACTGCTGCCCAACTTCATTCCAGTCGTGACCGCAGTTTTGGGACATGAAGAAGCCAGCCAACACTGCACACCCACTCCCCTCCAGCCCATAAGGGTCAGGGTCATTCCTACATGGAAAATATTCAAGAGCCTGTGACCGCAGTGAATCAACCCTGGAACAGGACCCGCATCCTGGTATTCAGAGGGAGTTTTGTCAAATCTGGTGAGTCCCTTGCCCCTCCATCCAACATCCTTATCTTGCAGAATATCACAGCCTGCCGGAAAAAATAAAGGCAGATTGCCTGCTTCAAGTGCATATGCTGAGAAAACTCTGAGAGATGCAAAGACGGAGCAGTAGCTCTAAAAATAGAGCTGGCAGAAAAGCCAGACTTTTCATTCCATGTTTAGTTCCAGTACAGTTCTGCCCAACCAATATTGCAAGAGAAATGGTTGGGTTTTTTTCCAAAGCCTTTATTTAGCTCCTATTATCAGTCAGATGAATAAAAACCTCTATGCTCCCAGCCTCCTAGGCAATTTTTTTTTTTTCTCTTCTCCATGGAGGAAGGAGGTGAAGCAGCACATTTGATGCAGAAGCAGGCAAGCAGATCCCTTGCTCTCACCACCTCTGAAAGCGTGCCAGGTACAACTCAACCCCCGACCATCGCCTGGGATTTCACAGAACAGGTTTTCAGCCAGGAAATTCTGACAGGAGTATTTTAATTAGCAACCAACTTTCTTTGAAAATAGTAACATCCCTATGTCTAGCTGGTGTTGCTGGTGGTGGTTTTGAAGAATGTTTCCCTAGTAACAATCACTTACAGCTGCCCCAGTGCCTCAAGGATGGAGCAAGTCCCAGAGCCAGGAGAGGAAGGTGGACATGAGGGCATTTCCTCCATCTCCCATCCACTCTGTCCCTTTGCGTGTTTGGATGGTGGGCAGCTTTATCCAGCACCAAAATCCCAGGAACATAACACTCCGATTACTGCCCCGTGTGACAGCACAATGATTCTGAAGAGTAAAACCAGGATCTGGGAGGCAAGAGAAACTCAGCCGTTTTTGGAACAGCATGTTCTCTGTCCATCCTGTGTAAGCAGCACATGATGGCAAACTTTTCTCCTCTGTCCCCTTCCTCAAGACACTGATTTCCGTTTTTCAGCTCTGCGAGGCACATGTGAAAACAAGACAGCAAGCTGGACCCAGCCGCATCCCATGTTTCCTTGGTGAGGGATTTTTGGTGAAGCCTCACTTGTGACTCCCAAGGTGTCACAACACCACAGAGTAACACCGAATAAGCAAAACAAATCTTCACGTTGCTGTTACATTGGCAACTACATTCTGACAAACAGCAAGAGAGGCCCTTTTTTGGTCCTCCTCAGAAAGGTACGAGCAGGCTACGTTGGCTGGGAGCTACACAGCTCTAGTCCCAGC